TTCCTGAGCTCTCTTAAAGAAACCCTTAAATTCCCACAGAGTCCATTTGAATCATATAAACAGTAAAATTCTTTTTGCATTAACCTTGATGAGGGGAATGAGTGGTTTACAGAAATGTCCAAGAAGCAGTCATTTCATGGGAGCTGAGTGCTGTCCTGGGGCCCCACCAAGAATTCTGCCCAGGAGGGCAGCAGAATTATATTGCCTGTGGAAGGCAGACATTGTTTATGACTGACACAGTATCCATATCCCCCTTCCTTGCTGACAGCACCCTGATTTTGTTTAGAGCAGCAGTGAACTCAGTTCCCAGTGAAACACTCACTTTCTCAGACATCCTTGTATTTAGGGGAAGTCATGTAACATGTTTTTGGCAATGAAACATTTACACATGGAAGAGCTTCGGGAGCTCTGTGAAAAAATGTGCACTTTCTCCCTTATTTCTACTTTCAAAACAGTCATGAAGGATAGAACCTTATCTGATGTCTTAAAAACAAGATGGAAAGGTGATGAGAATTATAGATATGGTGTTTCTGACACCATTGAGCTGCTGTATTCTAGCCAAAATATCTTCTTTCCAGTTGTATTTTATGAGAAAGACAAACTCTGTCCTGATAGAAGAAAGAAGGCTGTGATGGCAGTTGGGTCGATCAGATGACTGAATTGCTTTGAGGTGGATACCTGAAAGAGGACATTATGTGGTAGGGAAACCCCTAGGTACCAGAATTTCCATCCACCCTGGCCCTTCCCATCCTGCAGAGGGAAAATTTTTCGGTCACTTTAGTTTAATTTTCTGTTACTTGCCGCCTAAAGTGTAAATTGTCCAACTCAGTCGTGTCCGACTCTTTGTGACTCCATGAGCTATACAGTCCATGGAATTCTCCAGGCCAGAATACTAGAGTGGGCAGCCTTTCCCTTCTCCAGGGGATCTTCCCAACCCAGGGATTGGACCCAGGTTTCCTGCATTGCCGGTGGATTCTTTACCAGCTGAGCCACCAGGGGAGCCCAAAGTGTAAGCGGGGCTCCAGGTAACCTTTGGAAACCCAGAAAAGGAAAACCGGGAGGCAAATTTGGGGGTGTAGTTTACTCTCCGACTGTGGTGTCACCACTTTTTGTGGTTGAACGTGTTAGTTGCTCAGTCACGTCTGACTCTTTTTGACCCCATGGACTGTGGCCCAGCAGGCTGCTCCTCTGTCCATAGGATTCTCCAAGCATGAATACAGGAGTGTATAGCCATTCCCTTCTCCAGGGGATCTTCCAAACCCAGGGATCAAACCCGAGTCTCCAGCACTGGAGGCAGGTTCTTCACTGTCTGAGCTACCAGGGAAGCCACTTTTGATGGTTAGAACTTGGTGGAATCCTTGTGGCTAAACCCTTGGAGAGAAGCTGAGTATGGTCAGAAAATCTAGATCAGGAATTCTAGCTGTGTGATGGGCAAGAGAATTGGAGAGGGTCCCTGGGTCAGAAACCCATAGGCTTTCAGAGGCTTTCTCTCAGAGAGCAGCCCCACCTCATTCCCCAACACCCACTGCTGAGTTCCTATTCAGCTTTGTCAAATCACTGACCAGTTCCTAAACTGTTCGTGCCTTGGTTGATCCGTTTCCTTGCTCTAAATCTCTATCATCTCTTCCACACCCCATTATGGCTTATCTTTCAAGGTCCCACCTGATGACCTCTTCTGTCGAGTCCTTCTGATCATCCCCATATCCACACGTCTTTCCACTTACACAGAACCCACTGCTCCTTCTGCTGGGTCATCTCAGTATGCCATTCTAACTTCTCTCCCAGCCCTTGCTTATCCAACAAGTGCCTGTCCCTTGGCATGAGTTTAGGCACTTTCCACAGAACACTACAATTCACCCTAGAAATATTTATGTTACCTGCCAGAGTCTGATTTCTCTGAGGGCAGGATCCATTTGTCCTGACAGTTTATATTTGTTTTTGGAGCCTAGAATGTTTGCATGGAAGATAGCAACCAGTATTCAGGTGTTCAAATCTGGTGCTTCCTAAAGTGTTGCTTTGAAACATCAATTTCCAGGATGTCCTTAGGAATTTCACACCACAGTTAAATAGGTGTGAAGAATGCCAGACTGTGTGAGATTTCTCAAAGCCTTAACCACAGGTGAATCACTGAGAGGAAGGTTGACTATACAAGGTTTCTCCAGGGCATTTGACCATGGATCTTTTTCTCATGGAGAATCTTAAGGGACTAAAATGTTGAGGAATGCATCTTGGAAACCCTAAAACAGGCAACTCCTTTGTTTTAAGAGGGAAACATAACCCAGTACCTTTCGTAAGATCTACCAGCTGGTTGGAGGCATAGATGAGACCTGTGATTGAAAGCCTTTGAAAGCATACCATGGGTGACCCCGGGGGTTGCCAGACAGACTGGCAGTGAACTGAGGCTGAAAAGACAGCACTTTGAGGGATCAGAAAGACCTGACCTCCAATCCAGGTTTTCTGCTTCCTACTTGAGTAACCATAGGCAAACACTCTGAACTCTCAGTCTCAGATTTCTCATCTTGACTACATAGCCAGTAGTGCCTGTCTGCCATGGCGTTTGAGATGTCTGAAGGGTCTACTCTGAAATAGAAGCTCAACAAATAGTGGCTGTGGAAGCCAACAGCATTCTCCAGACTTTCGGGATGTGAGGAAAGAGTCTGCAGATAACTGGAGGTGACTATTGAAGAGAAAAGTCAGCAGCACCTTGGGCGTATGCACCACTGATACGTACAGATGCAGCCAGGGACACTCTGCCTAGGGGAGAGGCAGGAGCCCTCGGACCCGATATTACCAGCCGGGCAAGAGCCCGATTCATTCTGGAATCCTTCTCCCCGAACCTGGGGACTGATGCATCCTAAAACTCTTCAGTCCTCGAAACCAACTTCCTTCCCCATCCTGGTGGCCATCTGCCCAGGGTCCCCACACCCCAGAGTGGGCAGCAGTGCTGCCGGACCCACACATTCCTCCTCCATCTGCCATGATCTGACTTTAGTGTGTCTCTTTGCCTCTTTGCTTCACTCTCTCTGTCACTCTGCCACTTCCTGGTATCCTCGGGGCTCCTCCCTCCCACCCCTAGGCCTTCGCTCATCTCTTTCCTCTGTCTAGAAGCCTTCTCTTCTCTCTGCTGGTCTACCTCTTCCTTCTGATCTCATCTCAAACATCACTACCTTAAGAGAAGCCTTCCTCCAGATTCCGCCGTGACTAGTCCCTGCACTGTCACCCATTCGCACCCTTTCTTCTCCCTTTTCTTCATACTGAACATTATTCATGATTATATATTTATGTGATTAAAAAAAATAAAATCTATCTCCAATTGTAGAAGGAAGCTTCATAAAATTTGCTTTGCTGACCATTGTGCCCCTGGGACTAAGCAGAGTGGGCCACAGATGCTCATGAAATATTAGGTGAAATGACTGATGAATGATATACTGTCTAGACAACATTTGTGGTTTATTTGTGGGGGTCCCTGGGTCTCCTTGGTGGCTCAGACAGTAAAGAATCCACCTTCAACGTGGCAAACCTGGGTTTGAACCCTGGGTTGGGAAGATCCCCTGGAGGAGGGCATCACAACCCACTCCAGTATTCTTGCCTGGAGAATCCCCATGGACAGAGGAGCCTGGTGGGCTACAGTCCGTGGGACCGCAAAGAGTCAGACACGACTGAGCGGCTAAGTACAGCTCAGTGGGTCTCACACTTTTCTGAATGCGATTGTTTCCTTTATGGATCTGGCAAGGGGGGGCTGGGAGGTTGGCCAATCATGCTTCTTTTAGGAAAAGACTAGTGTTTGAGCCTTGGTGTGTGAATGGCCAGGCAGAGGAGCACTGCAGGAGACGTGCCGCCAGTGGGACCCCAGCTCTGACCCCCTACAAATGACCCATTCTGGAATCCTGGGAGAAAACTCTTCCAACCTTCAGTAGAGCATTTCCTGAATATCTGACTGCAAATTTTGGAAGAACTCTTGTCTTCTATTTTGTATAAGTCATTGGGAAGCTCAGGTTGAAATTGTGTCCACCTCTTACAGTCCAGTGGCAGCTGAAGGCTTGTAGTTTGCATGGCAAGCACACTCAGGATTCATCTTCCTTTCCTACCTCCACTTCCTTTGATTCCAATTTCTTACTGTATTCATTTTGTATCCTGAGGCATGTATGCAACAGCCTGCCATGTCAAATCCTTTCTGCAGTGATTTGGGTATTTTTTTTTAAATTGAGATGAAACTTCTTTCATCAAAAAACTAATCATTTCGAAGAATACAGTTCAGTGGCATTTAAGCACATTCAGTGTTGTGCAGCCACCACCTCTATCTAATTTAAGAACATTTTCATCGCTCCCGTAGCCTTTAAGCAGTCACTCCTTACCCCCCCTTCTCTCTGTGCATGCGTGCTAAGTCGCTCCATGGTATCCAGCTCTTTGTGACCCTCTCTTCATGGGATTCTCCAGGCAAGAATACTGGAGTGGATTGCCATGGGGATCTTCTAGACCCAGGGATCAAACCCACGTTTCCTGCGGCTCCTGCATTGCAGGCAGATTCTTTACCGCTGAGCCACCAGGGAAGCCCGAATTTCTCTCCTGCTCTTGGTAATTGCCAGTCTGCTTTATGTCTTTCTGGGTTTGCCTATTCTGGATATTTCATATAAGTGGAGCCATCCACTATGTGACCATTTGCTTTTGATCTCTCCCACTTGGCACAGTGTTTCAAGGTTCATCCATGTGGTCAAACTTATCAGTACTTGGTTCCTTTTATAGTTTGTTTAGGCAGTTTGATTAGAAATGTGAGTCAGCAGAGACTGGGAGCATTTAGTTGCCTCTAACGTGAGAGAATGGCAACCCACTGCAGTGTTCTTGCCTGAAGAATCCCGGGGACGGCGGAGCCTGGTGGGCTGCCGTATATGGGGTCGCACAGAGTCGGACAAGACTGAAGCGACTTAGCAGCAGCAGCAGCATGAGAGAGGAGGAAAAGTCTCTCTAGAGGCCTCTGTAGAGTTCACAATAGGAATTCCCACCCAGAAAACTAGTGTACTGTGGATAGTCCAATAGTACATTCCAGAGGTCTCAGGACCTGAGCGTGAGCTGCTACTCTCCAGAGATATCCTCCCAGAATAGACAGAGGTGTCAGTCAGCATTAAAATAACCTTGGCAGAAACCCTCATGCCAGAAAGATAGCCACAAACATAAGCGCCAAAGTACATGGTGGCAGGGCAGGGGGTTCTAAATTGAGTCTTGGGCTGTGAGTTATATTGACTTGGGTCTGACCAGTCAGTTCTGCCCCTTTTGGGTGCATGTCCCTGGTTTGGCAAGTGATGGGTGAGAAGGGCATTGGGAAGGCCAACGTGGAAACACTGCCCAGAAGTGTGGTATGGTTTCCAGCACCAAGGCACTCCATCCAGGCCAGAAATGAACTGACGTGGGAGAAACAAAGGGAGGCAAATAGAGTTCGGCTTCTTGTATGGGACTTAGAAAAGCAAATTAATGGCCATTCAGCTATTGGAAAGGGATTCCATTGATGGATTGATTGATTATTGACATTGGAGATCATCAGAGAGATGTCAGGAAGTGAAAGTGTTAGTTGCTCAGTTGTGTCCAACTCTTTACAACCTTGTGGACTATAGCCTACCAGGCTCCTCTGTCCACGGAATTCTCCAGGCAAGAATACTAGAGTGGGTAGCTATTTCCTTCTCCAGGGGATCTTCCTGACCCAGGGATTGAACCCTGGTCTCCTGTATTGCAGGCAGCTTCTTTACTGTCTGAGCCACCAGAGAGATGTCAGGGGACTCAGACAAAAAATGACTTCAAAAACCACTGGAGCCCAACTGAATTTCCTCTATGATGTATCATGAGATTCTTCCTCTTTTTGAATCTCATAACAATATGAAATGATGGTTTGGGCATTTGGGGAATGCTTAGGACTAAGATGAACCCAAGAATAGATTCCAATCATGTCATCTCTATTTATGTCAACTTGGGTACATTTCCACTCTGACCCTCAGTCTTTTCATCTGTAAAATGGAATGATACAGCATGGTAGTCTCAAAGAACCACTGTGTGGAGTAAAACTGATAACCCAGGGGAGATGCCAGCATCATAGGTGTTCCTCAATGATCTGTTCTTTTCTTCATCCTTCGTCTCCTAAATTCCAAGCGAAAACCCAGGTCTTTAGGCGAGCAGAGCTACGAGTGATGCTATGTGAGACCTCAGGGTGGGATGCGGTGAGAGAGAAGAGGTATAGGACAGGTGAACGCCTTCTAGATGAGAAGACTTCAAGACCTCAAGTTGCAAGAGACAGAGTAAATCTATGTGAGAAGCAATTTCAGAATAACCCTAAACAGTGGCTAACAAATGCGAGGGGGCCTGTGTCATCCTTGACAGTCAGTTGGTGCTCTTTCCTCTGAAGAGCCTCGTCCAAAGCCTTGATGGGTGGATGCCAACCCCAAAGGCTCTCCATCCTAGTTCTGACATGTCATGTCAAAATGATCTATTTGTGGGCCTAGGCTTTCATCCTCCAACCTACTGTGAAAACTGCCTGGTGCATAAACGTTTTTCTAATGTTGCAAATTAGCATTTAAGGTACTGACTATATGAGAGGGCCTGTGCTAAGCTCTTTGTACTGAGTATCTCCTTTTTCCATTACAACATCCCTAGAAAGTAATCACTGTCTTCTCCCAGACTAACAGAGGAGGGACAGAAGAACCATAGGCAGAATATACATGCCCAAGGTCACAAGGGTAGCAAGTGGCAGAATTGCCCTTGGACTTAAGAAGCTGGACCTCAGAGTTCCTGCTAGGTGTATTTCAGACCCACTGGCACATTGGCTTTCCTCATTCCCACCTTCTGGCTGCAGCAGGAAGGGAAGCAGAAGTCATGGGAGCCTGGCTGGCTGCATAGGAAAACTCCAAGGAGATGCTGTGACACTACTGGCATGTTTGCCCTGAAGGCGTGGGTGATCACAGGAGAAGAGGAGACTAAGAACTTCCCAGGGGCAGCAAGTTGTCATAAGCACTGAGGACAGTGGAAGTGAGCAGCAGAAGTAGGAACACAAAGGAAGGTCTGTGGATGGGAGACAGCAGCCCCACAGAAACTATCACCTCATGAGCTGGGGGACACTGCAGACTCAGCAGCTAAGATGTGGGCATGATGGGGAACAGGAGAGTCACTGCCAGTTCCTTAGAAAGAAAGCTTGAGGAGGGTAATAGTAGCTACCTGATCGGATTATCCCCGGGATTAGGGAGAATGCTTGCAACATAATAAGTATGATGCTTCCCCCATAGATAGAAGTGTTTTGTTACTAGCAGTAGCAATGAGTGGTATTCATGTGTGTGTCACTCTTGGCATAGTATTAGTATAAACCCAGGTTTCCTTCAAATGACCTTGCCAGTTTTAGCAAAAATCAAGTGCCCCCCTCTTTAGTTAAAACTTTGGAATCAGCCTTAGAATGGAGGGTGAAGAAAGTTGGTGTGTGGGTGTGGGTGGTTTCGAACATGGCAGAAGAATGTGATAATGTTGTAGAGCCGCTCTGTACCAGGTGTAGCGTGGGCATCAACGAGGGGATTCTCCATTCGGCCGAAGCAGGGAGAAGGATGTGACATCTGCATGGGCTCTTGGCAGATGGTACAAAGTTAGTGGGTAAAGGAGAGAGGCAGAGTCTTGGTGGAGCTTACCAGGTTCAAACAGCAAGGTCAGAGCCACCGGAGGCAGGGCGCTTGGAAGAGGTGGCAGGACGTGTGGCTGTAAACGTGGGCCTTTTCCCACCTCCAGCCCAAACCAGGATCTGGCTTGCCACCCCACGTCTCCCTGGACTATCTGCTCCATCCTCCACCCTTCCTGTGATGCCACACGGGTGGCTCTGCGCTCAAACCTGCACGTATTCCTGGCTGTGGGTCTGCCCCCGGGCCCTGGGGAGGGAGAGCACACAGGTGAATGAGGCGGGAAGGAGCCAGAAGCTGGGCAAGGCCCCAGGGGAGGGAGCCTGGAAGACAGTGCTCTTTGAGCTCCCAGACCTTGGAGGACCCACGTAGCCTCCGCTGTGAGCCCTGCCAGGGTGACCTCCAGCTGCCTGCAACGTCTCCGTGGCAGTGGGCCACGGAAATGGAGGGTGGAGCTCGTTCTTGGCGAGGCCCGCCAGGGTCTGGTACATCTCACCATTTCCCTTGGAGGCCTCCCTGGGTGTGCTGTCGGTCACAGGCAAAGATGTCCATGGGGCCCCCATCGCCTCTGACTTGTTTTCCCAAAAGTGCGGCTGGGTTTGCTCAGTACCATCTGCACTGTCTCACCGGCCACCCCACCCGCCCATCTGTTTATAGGCTGTCAGACAGCTGGCTGGGTGAGGGGGACACTGTGTGACCACGGAATGCACAACGCCGGCCGCTGCCAACGCAAGGACCCTGGGGTCTTCACCTCGCTCGCCCTAGGATCTCAGATGAGAGACGGGCCCCATCCACTCAGAGCTGGGCCTGTGCTGACAACGACGACAGAAATAATACCAGTGCTGAAGGGTTTACCAGGTACCAGGTGCTGAACAGACATCTCGTCTCATCCTTGCAGCAGTCCTGCAGGGTGGATGGGAGAGGGGGAGCTCATTCCCCCTCGGGTATTAGCTGGTTCTTCCTGATGCAGAAGCTGAGGCTCCACGACGTCCTGTTTGGGACTTCCCTGGTGGTCCAGTGGTTAAGACCTCACCTTCCACTGCAGGGGGTGTGGGCTGGATCCCTGCTTGGGGAGATTGGATCCCACATGCCTTGCTGCCAAAAAAGCCAAAACATAAGACAGAAACAATATTGTAACAAATTCAATTCAGACTTTAAAAATGGGCCATGTCAAAAAAAAAAATCTTTAATTAAAAAAGAAAAAAAAGTCATGTAAGTTTGCCCCAAGGTCCACAGCGGAGTGACGGAGCCGGAAGTGAACCCCCGGGAGCACCCCATCCCCAAAGCAGGAAGGAGTCCCCTCCTCCTCCTCCTCACTTCCTGCCACAGGGCCCTCTGAGTCCTGAGCTACCTTCCCTGCCCTCACACCCGCAGCATGAACACAGGGCCCTGGTGGCCACTCCCGATGCCCCATCTGCTTTCCAGCCCCTCTCCCTTCACCCCCTTGGTTTTCCCCACCAGGGTTCCCGAGAGTATCTCAGAGGGACCAGCCCTGTTTCCATAAGGATGGTTTTCTCTTGCTGGCATTTCTGGTGGCTAGCACTGCAGAGCTGATGATGACACTTGATTCTAAAGATACCAGTTCCTTGTGAAAGATGCCAAGAATACAAAAGCATGTAGAGTCAAACTGCCCTTCCCCTCTCGTATCTCCTCCACCCCTAGATTTCCCAGAGACAGCCACTGTGCTTGCTGTGTGTCCTCACATGTTTTTATGCCTATGAAAAGACAGAGGTAATTTACACAGCAGGATCAAACTACACTCCATTTGCCTCCCTCTCCCCCAGTCCTCTCCTCTCTATCCTTCTGTGCCCTGTTCTGTGTCTGGGAGGCTGCTGGGCGGTGCCCTGGCTCCTATGGGGTGGGTTTGGGGTGGGTCGGCCAGCAGAAGGCCCTGACAGCAGATGGAAAGACAGGATGAGAAGGAGGCCTAGGTATTTCCTCCCTTCTGCTCTCCTCCTGCTTCTGCTCTGCCCCTCTGGGGTTCTCAAAGTGGCTGGACTCCCTGAGGCCACCAGCTATGTTGGCCTTTCTTGAAAGCCCAGCTTTCTCTGGGCTCAGTAATTTTGGGCCTCCCCTTGTTCCTTGAGGTCCAGACAGGGAAGTGACTTCCTGCTGACCCTGCCTCTTGGGCAGTTCACAACCTCTGCTGGTTCTCTTACCCTTGCCCAGGACCACACCTGTCCCCTTCGTGACAGCACCTTCACGCTTTTGTGCCCTTTGCAACGTGCCCTCTGCTTGTGGATGGAGCCCTGTGACTCATGTGCCATCCAGGGACCTCTCTGCCCCTTGGCACTATATCGTGAGCAGCTTTTCAATATCTGTACTTACATATATATTCTTTTAAAAAATTATTTATCTGGTGCTCAGGCTCTTTGTTGTGGCATGCAGACTTCACTCTAGTTGTAGCCCGTGAGTTCCAGAGTGTGTGGCACGCTCGGTATTTGCAGCATGTGGCCTTAGCTGCCCGTTGGCATGTGGGATCTTAGTTCCCTGACCAGGGATCAAACCCAAGTCCCCTGCACTGGAAGGCAGACTCTCAACCACTGGACCACCCAGGAAGTCCCTACATATCTGTTCCTAAAGCATGCCTGGTACCTCTTCCTGGGAAGATCACAATCTAGATCTTGAGACCAAACATGAACAGT